CATTTAAGGTAGATCAAGCTGGTTTATGTTGAATACGTAATGTATTAAGCTACAGTTTCCGATTAAGACTTCTAAAAGCCAGCATGCCCTAAGTAAATTAATAAAAATTACTTACAATGTGATTTAGTCAGCCCACGTATACATGAAGCTACAGAGTGTACAAATATCTGTAACAGTGATGCATTACAATTTTTGTCATTTGGAGCAAACCTTGCTGTTTCTTTAAAAATGACAACTCCCATAGGCTAAATGCTTCAAGCAGAATGTCTGGTTTTCACCAATTTAATCTAGCTGACTCTTTTCCCACTTAAAAATAAATTCGGCACTTTGATTACCAACATGGCAAAAGGAATACCCACTTTGCGGTTTATCAACCTTTACTATTTTCTTACTATTATTTTCAGATAGAAGACATCTGCATAACTCAAAAATTATTAAAAGGTGAAATATAAAGGATACTTGCTTTCCTTGTTGAATAAAAGACAGAGAGTAAAGCTTTCCACATATAAATTAAAGGGCCTTTCCATTTCTTAAGAAAGTAAATAAACTTTGCTACTCGCTATTAATCTACAAACATATATTCTGAGATTAACATAACTTCACCACTCCATTCACAGTATCTCAGAATATCCCAGCAGCATTGCTTCCATCAAAAATTGTCTTGCATCACAAACAGCCAAATCCCTAAAAATATAACCCACTCCAGTCATTCTCCATAGTACACAATGGGTCTCTAGCTACCTAGAGAAAACATAAGCAAACCACCAAATAAACACATAAGTTATCTTTGATAAGAATGCTCTCCCATATGATTTCTGTAGCTTTAGCCTTTTGAGTGGATCTATAAAATCGTATTTTCTCCTCCTTCCATCTCACTCATTTCAACTGATTCTTCCTACAACCAACACTACCGAGTGTTCAAAGCTAGTGTAGATGTTACGGGACACTGAAAGGAGTCTCTGACAATGTAACTTCATGTAAAGCAGTAGATGGAAACTCTGTATTTCCATCCAACGATACCGCTCACTGGTCAAGTCCAGCTCCTCCTGTCAAGATAAAGCATCCTAAGATCAGTATTTTTAAGAATACTTGCAAGGCATGTCTCGACGCCTATACTGCAAGGCTTTTGTGGTTTTATCTGCATTTCAGTGAATACTTACTCACAGCAAACTTTACAAATACTTGCTAATTAGATTTTATCCTTCCCTTGTAAGCCAAGTAATTATGATCTTTACTATAGATAAAGACCTAACGGGGAAAGGGGTGCTGCAATTTGCCTTCAGCTGCTGAAAACAGCAAGAGTGTTGCAGGCAGCATCTGCTCCAGTGCCCCGGGCCACGCCGAGCCCCGCACCGCACCGCTGAGCTGCCCGCCTCCGCAGGCGCTCCGTCCTTACCCCAGAACAGATTTACAGTCCTCTCAGAAAGTGAAGGATATACAGCTACGAACTTTGTGAATCCTGGGGCCACCTTTGAGTTCTTACACTAAGTTCAGGAGCAAACCATAATACTTGGGGGGGGGGGGGGGGGGAGGAATTAATGACAAATACTAACTACTTCTTTAAACAGCATCATGTTTCAACTATTATTCAAAAGTAAAAGGCCTTAAAAGCTTGATTTGGAATATGATATCTGACACTAACACTGATGTTCTAGGTCCTGCTGGGCATCTGCAGATACTCTTTTTAAACTCAGTGCTTAATTACGCCTCTTGTACTTTCTTACAAACTATTTAGACATATCTTTGCACTTTACTAAAGAATGAGTACTTTGCACTTATAAACCATCAAAGGATACCAAAATCATTTGCAGGCATTAAGCAGCGAAACTCAAAATACACATTCAATTTAGATAAGAATCAGGTAAGTGTGTTTCACAGTGTCTTATGCCCATAGGTTTCCGTATCTACATAACAACATTCTGTCAAAGAGCACTTTGTGAACAATTGCTCTATTAAGCCTGGAGTGAAAGCAGTACCGCTGTACCTTTTAATTTCATTTCACAGTCTATGAAGTCCAAAACAGCAAAATGGAAACAGAAATAATATTCAGACGTAACTCCTGAACTTGAGAAACAAAGAAAAGCATTGCAGGTTTCAAAGCAATTGTATGTACGTGGATTACATTTTATATTTACAAAAACCCATGTTTAGTAGTTGTCGCTATCCAAGTATCAAACTGCATACACTAGAAGTTGAATTTCTTTTTTAGAATGTCAAATAAAGTAAACCTTCTTGTCAACAAACTAGTTTCACTATTTATATAACATCACTGGATGGTCTTGCTAGAATAATCTTGTGCGTGCACTATCCCCCAATAGGTTACCATGGCAACTTATATTTGAATTTCTATAAATTTCTATTTTTAGAGATCACAGTTTAGGATAAAGAAAATCACAAATATTAAGTACCATTTCATTAATAGAAAATATCCCATTTTTATCATCATCATATTTCCCAGAAAAAGACATTGATGAAATTAAATCAGGCAGTAAAGCTAAAAAAAAAATAATTACCACAGTTATTAAGAAAGTTTACCACTAAGCAGCTTCATCATAAGCTAAGCACTGTATGAGTCAGTAGCTAACATTATGAGGCAAAGATTGATGTTCACAGAGTTTTGTCTTGATTTCAGTAAGGCCAGGATTTCACTCAAATGTTTTTAGAGTTAGTCATCATTTCAGCTGACACAAAACACAAGTGTATTTGCCAGAATACTCAGAAAATAATGTCTAATGTTTCAGGTGTGGGAAAATGTTGAATTGACAGTAACGTCTCAGTTCCAAACTAAGGTTACCATCACCTTAAATTACCGTGTTCAAGAGTGCTTACTAAGTGCTTGCTGGTCCTTAAATACAAATTTATTTAATGCTTTAAAACTTGCCAGCAATTCTCAAAGTTATCTCCCTACCTGAAAGATCAAGGTACAGAGTAGCAGCCTTGAAGAAAATTAAAACACTGATTTAGACAGTTGTTACAGCTCTGACACTGCCTTACTCTGGCTGCCTGTGGTTGAAATCAGAATATAATATTTAAAAACAGTTTGTAAGTTTTAAAAAATTAAACACCTTATCTTCAAAGAGATTAATATTGCCGTGTCACAATTTTATATTATTGTGTTAATTATGACATTTGTTTTCAAATTTGAAATATCTTTACCCAAGCCACTGACAGTTCAGGATGGTCTAGTACAGATGGAAAATTTGGAAAGCAAGTGCCTACAGATTATGTCAAAGAGTGGACCAAAGTGGACTGAAAACCCAAGTGTCAGCTACAACTCCAGGGCGCAAGCACAATCAGCATGCCCACCTTCCTACTTCTCCTGGTATCTTCCATTTAACATTTACTTTGCACTCTTCATTTCTCCAGCAAAGTTGAGTGAAAAGATTCCCTCTCGTAAAAGCTGCAGAAGCGACACTGTCAGCAACTTGCCAGGAAACAGTAGGTGAAAGACAACCTGCAGCACAACCACCACACATACTACTGTTGCGTTGGGTAACTGACAGCCAAATTTTCTCGGGGATTCAGACAGGCAAGAGGTGAGCAACGTGGGTATGTCACTGATAAGCAAAGATAGACACTTCTGGTAGTTTTTATTCAGAACCGACCCTTTATTTAAAAATTACTTCAAGTAGCTGCTGAAGCCGGCTGCCATGGGAAAATGCATTGGTGGGCAACCTTCAAAAAACATAAACAACACTGGCACTCAGCAAGTGATAGTAGTAACTACGAGGACTTTTACTTTCTGTTTAGCTTACCTCACTAAGCTCACAGGAGTTGCTAACTTCCACAGAAACTGCATCAGGCCACAGGGTACAACTTAGGAAGTCACTTAAGCACATGCTTGTGGTCACATCTACGAGATTGCCAGAGAAATCAGTGGAACTGAGCAGGAGACGACACCTACCATAACTGCGCTTTTCTGCGGGATGAGGCTTAGCCCTGAACACTTCATGCAAATCCTGGTAAACATGCTGCAAAACACTTAGCACCATTTTATAATCAAACATTTCCGATTACAAGTTCTTTTTCTTGTATTGCAGGGAGGATTTGCTGGTGGCTGCTTTTCTCGTTGTTAAATTTGAGGCACCACTATGTATTTCTGTCAAAGGAATTACAACCATTTGTTTGCTCCAAAGCCCCGAGTTAGAAAACGAACCCACATCACCACTAACAACAGCAACTAAAAGACAGAAGTGCAAATCATCAAAGTAGAAAGTAGTCAGCATCAAAATCTAAAATCCCTAAATAAAGGAAACTTAGTACGATCGTTTACTGCCTTGTACCTGTACCCTCAGTCACAGAGCTAATGAGGGTCACCCTGAGAAATCAATGGAGGAAGAGCCAGGGTGACCCCCCTGTCACACTTACTTTACTGAACTCGGAGCACCTCCCAGCATGGACAGGGCGAAGCTGGGAAAGGGCTGAGGTCGCTCTCCGGCTTCGCTGTCACCACCTCACCCCAAACCCGAGACCTCTGACAGCTGGGGAAGGGATGATGGCCTCCAGCGGGGCCAACTGCCCTGGCCCCAAAAATACCTCCATGCAGGTGGATCAGAAAGGAGAACGACACCGTGGGGTTGTTTCCTACCCACATCCCCCAAACACAAACGGGTCCCCCAGTGAGAGCACCTCCAACACCCCCACCCAGGCCAGGGAGGTGAGCGTGGCTCCCTCGCAGGCTCCTTGGGGCACAGCTCCCACCGCACCCCACGTACACTCCCACGGTGGGACCCCCTCACTGCCCGACATCGCCTGCAGACGCAGCGGGGACCAGCACCACCGCCCCACGGGGAGCCAACGCTCACACCCCTCCACCCCCCCCCCCCCACGCAGCAGCCCACCAAAGCCTCGCCTCCGCGCACCCACCCACGCGGGGCGAGCTTCCCCTTGGCGTCCCACGTCCCCGCCTCCCACGCAGCGGGACCACGGCGTGCGCGCCCCTGGAAGCCCCTCGGCCTGCCCTGCCGCCCCGGGCGGGAGCGCCGTCCGGCGGCGCTTACCCTGGCAGCCCGCGAGGAGTAGGGGTCCTCGAAGAGCGCCCAGACGCGGGGCTGCAGCCGCCGCCAGCGCCCGCCCTTGCCCTCGGCGGTCGCCCCCACGTCCTCGATGCCCAGCCTCTTGGCAGCCAGGTCGTCGTCGTCGCCGTCCGGGGGTGGCTCGCCCGTCAGCAGGTCGGGCGCCTCGAAGATGTCGAGGGCCTCCTCGGCGTCGCGGTGCTGGCGGTAGGTCATCCAGCAGCAGGGCTCCACGTCGGTCTCGTCGATGCCCCAGAAGGCCAGCTCCTCCTCGAAGAGCGGCCCGCAGACGTCGGCGGGGCAGTGCAGCTTGCCGGTGCGGTAGTAGTTGAGCACATAGGCGAAGACCCCCGGGTGCCGGTCGAAAAAAAACTCGCTGGCGCCGCCGCTGCCCCGGGGGCTGCAGCCGCTGCCGGGCTCCGGGCAGCCGCCCGCCGGCGGCGGCGCGTTGGGGGGCTCCTCGCCGCCCGGGGACTCGCTCTGGGACTCGCAGGCGAGCAGGGCCAGGCGGGTCCCCGGCAGGGTCTTCAGGGTGCTGCGGTAGGTCTCGTGCCGCGTCCCCCCCACGTTGAGGATCACCCTCTCGTTGTCCTCGAGCTTCCCCATCGCTCCGGGTCGGACATGACTGGAGAGACTGGGGAGGGCGCGGGAGGCGGCAGCGAGGATGGGGGGGGGGGGGGGGGGGGAGGGAGGGGGGAAGGGGGTAGGACGGACCGGTCGCTGGGCAAGGTGGAGGGGGTGCGGGCAGCCGATCACGGGCAGGTCCGCGGTGGATGAGCTTCTGCCTTAAACGCAAAGAGAAAGAAAAAATCGAGGAGAAGCCCCCCCAGGCATGACCGGGGAGGGGGGGGATGGGGCGGGGTGGCTATCCCCCATCGCCACCGCCTGCCCCAGCCCGCTCCATCCCCTCGATCTCCCGCCGCCCCGCACCTCCGGCAGAGCCCTCCCGGCCCGCCCCGCCGCCAGCCCCCGGCTCCGCGCCCCCCACCGCTGGGCTCCTCCCGCCGAGGGCTCTCCCGCCTGCCCGCCCCGGGCAAAGATCGGGGTTCCCCGCACACACACCCCGAGACATACACGTTTCCCCTGGAAGCAGACTACCGAAATGGCACTACTGCTGCTGCTCCCGCGAACGGATCCGCCACCGTCCCCACCCCCTTCTCCCTCACGGGGCTGCGTGAACCGAGCTGACGGAATAGAAAGTGTGCGGTTAATTATTTAATGGGCATCTACCTTTTATTAGCCTCACAGCTTCACCAGGGGGAGGGGGAAAAAAAAAAAAAAAAAAAAAAAAAAAAAGGGGGGGGGGGCGCGGAATTAGAGGTTAGTCTCTTCCCTCCTCATTTTGGGAGGGAGGGATTGTTTTTTGGGAAGAAACGCCAAGCCCCCCAATAAGCTCAGGCAGCAGGCACACCCTTGGAAAAGCTGCCTGCGTGGAGCTCGGCCCGCTACTTTCTCAGACGAATCACGGAGAGGAGCGTGCATCTCGGGGAAGGGCCGGTGGAACCGGCGCCGGGCTGCCGTGGGTTTCTGCCCGCTGCCCCCCGCCAGCCCCTCGTCCTCCCCGCCGCTACCTTCGCCACAGGAGAGAAGGCGGCTCCTCTTCCCAGGCGGGCTCCGGTCGCGCGTGGCGGTGGACGCCGATTCCCAGCCTCTCTCCGTGCTTCCCTGCCAGGCGAGAACTACTTGTTGTTGGGTCTGGGGCGGGGGGGGGGGAGGTGTTTTCTTTTTTTGCTTTCCGCGTTCAGGTAGCTGTTTTACCGCCCTCCATGCTCAACTCCCAAAGGCGTAAAAGCGGCTCCCGCCCCGCGCTCGGAGATCCCGCTCCCTTCATTTTACAAGGGGGGAGCAGCCTTTCCCCATGGGCGCCGGGCCGGGGCACCTCGGGGACCGCTGGCTGCCGTAATCCCAACGCCTCTCCGGGAAAACGAACCCGAAAAGTGAAAATTGTACCTCATTTGGGGCTGAAGCTCCTCCCCGGGGCGGGGGCAGGGCAGCCGTCCCTCCGTACCCCTCCAGCCCCCCACTCCCAGCCCCGTGGGGCGGAGAGAGGCGATAGCGAAAACAAATACCACAGCTCTCCCAAAAAAGGCGACACCACCTCCGCTCCTGCTACATGTAAATTTGGTTCACTTTCAGGAAAACACACGGGAAGGGAGCGGGGCTGAGAAGAGCTTTTTTCTTTTTTTTTTTTTTTTTTTTTTTTTTCCCAGAGGAATGGAGGAAAAGCAGCGCCTAGCTACAGGTGACTTCGACGAGGAGCTGCTCAGCCCCCCCAGGAGAGGGTCCTTTGCCTGGCAGGCTGGTGCCTGCACCCCTGGGGTCACCCAGCACCCACGGCCTCGGCCGGCAGGGCAGGGGATGCTCCCGGTGTGAGCTGAATGCTGCAGCATGGAACCCCCCTCCCTGGTTCCCAGGGAGCCTGAAGAGCCAGCTCCAGCACAGGACAGCTTCTGGGGAGCCCCAGCCTGAGGGGCCCAGGGAGAGAGGGCTCAAGGACAGGAGATCCAGCCTTTAGGTCAGCTGGAAAATAACAGATACGGTGCCGCGGGTACACTTCATACGCAGTAGACTTTGTACTTGGAGGTTGGGAGTGATGGGGGAAATGGAAATTGAGAGACCCCAATAATATATGAGGGTGCCCAATGCCTGTGCCAAAGCCTTTGCCTCCAAACCAGCTGAGTTATCTTCTACAGCCTATTTTACCGATGCTTGGTTTCAACTGGGTTGGTCAAAGGGAAAGAAGCTTCCAGCCCCAGAGAGACGATGTACAAAACAAGAGGTCATTGCTCTCGCCACTTCCTCAAAAGAAAAATCTTCCTTCACACCAAAGGTGTTCCCTGGCATGAAGTAGGGTAATGAGTGGAATAATGGTACCTGAAACATCCCCCTTCCACATCAGAGCCTTCGGCTGGGCACTTGCTGGCATTGAGAGGGAAAAGCTCTGCTGGAAGTGATGCTCGGAGGACACTGTGCTTAGACCAGATTGCTTTAACCCAAATCTGTCTGTACGTGGCATCCATGATGTAAACACAGACTCCCAATGCAGCAACAACTTTAAGAAATGGGATTTAAAAGCTTTCTCCGGATGTACGTTTTGAATGTCCTAAAAGGCAAAATATATCCTGCCAAAGCAGATATAATCAGTTAGTGAAAACTCCCAGGAGCCAAAATTAATATTCAGTTAAATAGTTGTAAATCCAATGGAAAGGACTCACCCATCCTAAACCAAAGCAACACTGCTCACACCATACTCACTTTTCTTTGCAGAGGGGATTTTTCTGAAAAGAAGAAGGAGGGAGTAAGACCAAATGAATATTCATTGTCTTCTCTCTGACCTACGAGAGGTTTCTGGAGAAATGCAATGTATTAAAGCTCTGCAGCATTCATCCATTACGGAAAACCATGGGGTGGCAGTAGCTGCCAAAACACTAGACAAACTGCATCATCACAGAATACCAGGACTTCCCTCTGACCTGTCACTGTCTGCTTAAGTCCCATCTGTGCTGAAGTTATAAGACAAGCACTCCCTTCTACAAAAAAATAAAAAAAAACAAACAAACAAACAAAAAAAAACACAAAACAAAAAAACAACAAACCATCCCAAAACACAACAAAAAAACAAACCACCACAAACAAAAAATCCAAACCAAAACAACGAAACCAAACACAAAATCCCCTAAAACCCAGCCCCCCATAAAGAAAAACATAACCCACCCAACAACCTAAGCAACCTAAGACTAACAAGTATGGCATCTCATAAACAAAAACTTTATATTCATACTCCATAATGTCAATGCTGTGAAAAATGCATGAATTATGAGAGATCTGTGTACGCTTCAGGTTTCTTATGCACACGGGGTTTTTTATTGCATTGCAAAGAATAAGCCACAGAAATAGTTTTTCTAGTTGGTAAGAAAAGAAATGGACTCTTCCAGAATATAATAGTTCTTCAGTCATGTCAAAATGCCCATATTCTACAACATGTCTGTTACTAAATATAATTCTATTAATTTCTCTGTATGTCATTCTTCCTTGTATTTTCAGCATGTGGCAGACTTATCGGTAAGAATTAAATTATATCAGACATTGACTTCCAGAGCCGACATTTTCTTGAATGACTATATTCTACATAAGCAACTGTAGTAGCATTTATGAATTAATTTCCCCTCTACAAGAGATTGACCTGAATTTTTGCACTCCTCAGTGCTTCCAATAAAAGTAAAACCATGAGACATAGAGAAATGTGCCTCCTGGGTGAGTCCTACCATGAAATATATCTGCAAATGGAAAAAAACTAATAACTATTTACACATACTGTCTTAAACATATTAATGTAAAAGTTAAGTGGTAGCATTTCTGTAGCTCAGGAATTGAAACTTTCTTTGAGGAACTGAATGACACTGAGCAGTTCACAAGCAATTTTCCCTGCTGGATAGGTATTGTGAAAGGAAAGGTCTTATGTTACTGTTTTAACCAACAAAGCAAGAAAATTGGATGTGAAGACTTCTATGAGAAACCCAAGACAAATGAGCATTTTGCTTACTAGCAGCAATCATTCTTCTTGCAAGCTTGAGTACTGCAATGCAAAGCCATTGGGTTACCAGCTGTCTAACAATAAAAGAGTAAATGGAAGAAAGGACATGTGGAACAGAAAAACAAATTTAAGGACAAATGCAGTGTACCCCAGTTACAGTCATGCTCTAAATCACCTTCTGGAGGAGCTCTGTCCCTGATGACTAGGGGGTCCCTGGGGACATTAACCTGCCCAGACACCATCTGTCTTCCTGAGGCAGAAGCCACCAAGTTTTTCTAGTCCAGGTCACCATTTCATATTTTTCATATGATGTTGCAATCGGGAAAAAAAAAAAATTCAATTTTATAATGGAAAATTATAATTGAAGACAGTGTGACACAGCCCAAATATGATTAATTTATATCCGTTTAGTTGATGATTAAGTAAATGAAGTAGTTATTTTGAATATCCACTGTCATTAACATTTTATTAAGCTTATACTTGTTTCTTTCACATATTTTTCTGTTTTCCCTTATTATTTATAATCATCTTTACTGTTTACAATTATATGTACTAATTCATTACAGATCTTGCAGAACATGACAGCCACATTATATTGAAGTACATTGATGATAAGACAGAATCCAACTCTGAAACTGCAAAAAAAAGAATGAATAGATTAAGTAAATGTCTGTGAAATACAACTGTAAGGAGCCATGGTGTAGTTAAATTGGACAAGGCTAGAAACAAAGCCAGCAGAAAGTTGTCATTATTTTAAAATTTCAAAGCATGATTGCATTTTTAGTTAATGCAATTGAAATGTAAGCTTGGTTTGATAAATAACACCGAATTGGTGAAAAAAGGTCTTACTGTAGAAAGATATAAATAAAACTAAGATTGGACAAGGCAGATGGACAAAATGTGAAAGCTGTCATGAAATTAGTCTACTGTTAGTCCCACAGTGGCAGGTGGGAGTCCCCTGTATGAGGCACTGCATACACACAGGTGTGCTTCATCTGCCTTCCCCCAGTCCAGAGCCTCAATTCTTTGTGAAATTCTGGGGAATGTGGTACCTCTCATCAAAAAATGAAAACCTGGAAAAGTTCCTTGTATGTTATATTTATCAAGAAAAGAAAAACTAGAGAACCCAAAATTGGGGTTTCCTGAGAAGACACATGATACCGTATAAAAAAAGAGGCAAGCACTGATTGCATTACCTAATTAATAATCCACAGCACAACCCATGCTACATGGTTAAGTCATTGCCTTCCCTGGTGGTGGATAGGAGGTGGTAAAATGTACAGTTTTACGTACATTAAAATAGGCTTCAGGTTTCTCTTTTCAAAAGAAAGGGGTGTTGGGAAGGAGAGCGTGAAGCGACATCGCTGCAGAGCTGGGCCTGGCCCTTTCTACCTCATGTTAACTCCAGCCGCAGCCCTGTGTCTCACACAGCTCTGAGCTGAACAGTTACACTTTCCCTTGGAAACCCTCATGTTTCCCTCTGCTGTAAGTTGAGACCCTGGAACACACCAACGTGTACGTTCTCATCGTCTTCTCTGTTCTCCAGTCCTCCCACAGGTGCTCGAAAGATTTCAAAGCAACATTCCTCTTCACAAGCTTCTGATACCACAAGCTACACCATTTCTTTCACCTTTCCAGGTTCAGGCAGATCCAGTGCAGAACTGGCCAATTCTCTTTTGGGGCTGAGCTAGAGCTGGACTCCTTCTACAGGGTGTCCCTCAGATTCCCCCTCACAGTGAAACTCAAGCCTGTCCCATTCCGTCCCAGCTCTCTCCAGAGACATCTTCCCCATCTCTTTTCTGCTTCTCTCCCCAATTCCTTCTACCTTCCCCTGTTTTCCAAAGCTCTCAGCGCTGGCAGGTGCAAGTTCAGCAACCTGCTTAGCATCGCCTCTGCAGCAAAAATGCATTCCTTCAAATGCGAACAGCTTGACTAAGCACGTTGGGTGCAAACGGCAAGGTTTGGGCAGCAGGACTGGAGGGTGCCTGCAGGGAGGGGGCCATGAGCTTCCCGGTGCCAGTCCCATACATTTCCAACTGGCTCTGCCCTGCTGGGAGCAGCCCCCAGCCCTCCAGAGCCTCAGCCAGCCAGGAGCCCCCAACACTTGCCTCCCATGTGGTTGAAATAAATAAAATAAGTGAAAATTCCTCAACTCAGCACTGTTTTGCCCACGATGTGCCAAGAACACGCATACAAGGCAAGTGGAGCTGTTCCAACCGATTGCCTCCTCCAACCAGCCTCATAAAATTCCAGACCCAAAGCACAGGATCTCACAGGGGGCAACCCCTTAGATACCATCAGCCTCTGCTCTCAATTCCACTGTTCCTCTAAATCAGGAGTGGATCCCACACACCCTTTTCCCAAACATCAACCACCCCAGAATCTTCTCCTAGC